TCTCTCTCTCTCTCTCTCTCTCTCTCTCTCTCTCTCTCTCTCTGTGTGTGTGTGTGTGTGTGTGTGTGTTGTGTGTGCACCGTATGCACCCCCCCAGCTTACATGCACGTACGCACATGCTTTGCTCTCTTGTTGTTTTTGAATGTCCTGTGCTTTTGGTTGTTTCGTTTGAGTTGTTTTTTTTGCGCGTGTCGTTTGCTGGTATTGCTGGGACTTGGGTGTCCTCTTGTGTGAATGGATCATTTTGGGTTGTGCTGACTGAGTGCGAGGTTGAGTTACTGGGTTTTGTCTGGAACCAGGGGTCGGGGGTTGGGATCCCTAACCCTGGGGTTTGGGGGGGGGGAGGGGGGAAAAAAAAGTACTGGCGGATGTGCAACAGCGGTACTGGCGGTTGCTAGCGGGTGTGCAACAGCGGTGCCCACCAGTAGGGCTGTCCGGCTTCTGGCGATTTGGGGACCTTCCCGAATTCCCCACCAATAGACAGAGCCTCAGCAGCACAGGACCAGACCCGAAATTCTGGGCCGCGTCAGAGTGTAAGGCTGCCCCTGAGTTTTTCTTTTCTTTTCTTTTCTTTTCTTTTTTTTTTCTTGAGGAAAAAGAGGAGAGCAGGGTGCTTTATACTGTAGTGCTCCTACCTACAACTGGGTAATGTATGAGCATGGCTGCAGGCCGGTATTCCCCTTTCTGTTCGGTGAAACGAGGGGTGTGTTTGTTTTATCTTTTGTGGGCTAGAGAGAAAGATGGAATGGTGGCTGTTGGACATTGCAGTGGAAAGATGTGAGCACCGTACTCTTCTGCTCTCCTGATAGTGATGGACTGCCCTCCCTTTTTTTTTTTTTCCCAATTTTTGTTGAGCTGATCAGAACAGATACTACCACTTGAACTTAGCCAAAAGGCTCCACGTAAAACAAAAAAAATAAAAAAACGGGTTGCGAAAACAGCTTGCAATTGCACTGCAGGCGTTCGGTCTGAAAATGTCGAATGTATACACGCTGGCTTTCCGGTCCGGTACAGTCCAGAGGGAGTTTTTTTATGTTCGGCGGGAATGTCTGAAGCTCAATTTCGAATTGTTTTTGTGACCGCCACATAGTTACCCCTAAAAAGAAAGTTAAAGAAAGAAAAAGAAGCTGGGTTAGGCCGACGTCCGGCCCAGACGGACAGGGGGGGGTCCGGCCGGCAGAAACGGACGAGCCAAAAAACATTCCAGGATTTTTTTATTTTTTTTTTTGAAGATGGGGTTGGAGTGCGCTCGCTGAGAGGACCCCGAATCTGCAGAGAAACTTGTGAAAGTCATGTGTGTTTTTTTTGGGGGGGGGAGTTGACAAGGGCGTAAAAGGGTGTGTTGTAGCACACGGAGAGAGAGAGAGAGAGAGAGAGAGAGAGAGAGAGAGAGAGAGAGAGAGAGAGAGAGAGAGAGAGAGAGAGAGAGAGAGACTGACACGTGGCAC